CTGGACGAGCGAGAAGCTTCAAAAACCTGGGAGTAACTTGCGGGGGTTCCGGCGCTGGCTGGCGTCGCTCCAGATCCACACGGGCATGTGGCGGGCTCTTCCCCACACACACACGCTCCTTCGCATCTCCTGCATGCTTTTATTTTGTAATTTAATATATATACTCACTCGCATATATATAAATATATATATATATATATATATATATATATATATATATATATATATATATATATATATATATATATATATATAGAGACCAGACATGAATACGTGGTTACAGGGACACTGACGGCTCGAAAGTTGGTGGTTTAAGAGCTAGCAGCTCTATCCTGCTGCCGAGGATCGACAGCAGGATCGAGTCTAAAGGATCTAAATTTTACACATTAGACCCTTGAGACTCGCTGATATGAAGTACATGGAGGGAGGGAGGGAGGGAATTATCAGGGGTAAAAGCGCTAAGCCATTATGACTATATAGCACTTGGAAGAGGTCAGGATAAGGATTTGGGATGGGACGGGAAGAGGGGTACATGGAGCTTTGTAATTACTGTATTCACATTCGTGTTTTTAGAAGACAGCGGGCAAGGTTTTCCATCGCAGGGCACTGATCACATCTCCCCCTGTGAGATGGGAGATGTCTTTGTATTTCATTGCTAGCTCTTGACACACGCTATGTAACCCTTCATATAGTCTTGTGTAGCGACTTAAATGAAGATGTACTTAAGCATGTTAGTAAAAAAAACATTAGAGGGAGAGAGAGAAGAGGGAGGAGGAAGAGAAGGGAAGGAGAGAAGAGGAAGAGAAGGACAGAAGAGGAGATGGAGGAGAAAGGGAAGGAGAGAAGGAGAGACGGAGGAGGAAGGGAAGGAGAGAAGAGAAGATGGAGGAGGAAAGGAAGGTGAGAAGAAGAGATGGGGGGGGGAGGGAAAATTCCCAGGCGTGACACAGCTGCATTAATTACATCAACACTCTACCAAACTGCTCATTAAGGGGGGGGGGTGTTGATACGAGCTTCCGGAATAAAGGGGGGGGGGTGAGAGTACGGGTAGGGGAATGGGAGAGGAGGAAAGGTTGTGGAAGAAGGATTGGAAGGAAATCTTAAGAGAAGGAGGAGGAGGGAGTGGGGTGGGGGGCGAACTGAATGATAGGGAGGACAAGGAAGCAGGGTAGAGAAGAGGAAAGAGGAAATTCTGGGGGTGAAGGTTGCATGGAGGTGACACCGGCTGAACAAATGAGGGGAAGGCGAGAAGGGTGGAATTAATGAGGGGAAATTAATAACAAGAATAAAAGGGGGGGAGAAAGGCAAGGGGACAGAGCTTAATTGTGGACCGGTGGCAATAAAAAACATTAACAGAGGAGGAGAAGAAAGAGGAGTGTCAAATGGAAGAGGTTGAGGAAGGGGAGAATGAGGATGGCGTCAGAGATTGGCGAAGAGTTGGAAGAGGAAGTGGAAGAGGAGGAGGATGAATTGGAAAAGGAGGAGGAGGAAGAAGTGGAAGCGGTTCAAGAAAAGAAGAAGGATGAAGCTGACGAGGAGAAGAAAGTGAATAAGGAGGCTGGACAACAGGAAGACACGAAAAAGGGAAGGAGGAGATAGTAAAGGATGACAGATAAAGATGGACTGACGCCCTAAAACTTTTAGGACGACAGTGATGTATTCTGACCATTGTTTATTAGGAATATTTGCTGTACAGAGTAGTATTTTCTTGGGTGTTGTGAAGGATGTGTTACAAATCACTTGTAACACACTTGTTTAGTGTAAGAGAAGCGAATAAATAAAATTAATTTGGTGAGGCTATTTACACTTATACGATAAATACGTTTATACGTACACTAGATACGATAAAAAAAAACAGGAGGGTCAGAAGCGATTGAGTCAGGTGACCACCAGCAGAGAAGGCGGGGGTCTGAGAGCTGACGCTCGACCCTGTAAGCACAACTCTCAGTGACTATAAACACACAAGCGCAAATGTGGATCTAGAGTGTGAGGGGGAAGTGGATGAGAGAGAAGAGAGGAGTGTGGGAGGAGGGAGGGTAAAAAGAGAGTGAAAAGGAGGATTAGCGTGGGAGGAGGGGAGATGGTGCAGGGAGTAGGAGGAATGATATAATAACTGCGTGGGATGAGAGGGAAGGTTAATAACTGCGTGGGATGAGAAGGTTATTAACTGCGTGGGAGGGAAGGTTATTAACTGCGTGGGATGAGAAGGTTATTAACTGCGTGGGAGGGAAGGTTATTAACTGCGTGGGATGAGAAGGTTATTAACTGCGTGGGAGGGAAGGTTATTAACTGCGTGGTATGAGAGGGAAGGTTATTAACTGCGTGGGATGAGAGGGAAGGATAATAACTGCGTGGGATGAGAAGGTTATTAACTGCGTGGGAGGGAAGGTTATTAACTGCGTGGGATGAGAGGGAAGGTTAATAACTGCGTGGGATGAGAAGGTTATTAACTGCGTGGGAGGGAAGGTTATTAACTGCGTGGGAGGAGAGGGAAGGAGAATAACTGCGTGGGAGGGAAGGTTATTAACTGCGTGGGATGAGAGGGAAGGTTAATAACTGCGTGGGATGAGAAGGTTATTAACTGCGTGGGAGGGAAGGTTATTAACTGCGTGGGAGGAGAGGGAAGGAGAATAACTGCGTGGGAGGAGAGGGAAGGAGAATAACTGCGTGGGAGGAGAGGGAAGGAGAGTAACTGCGTGGTAGGAGTGAGGATGGGGAAAAAAGATAACTGCTCTTCCTTCATTGGTCAACACTCAATACGAATGTGTACGTGTTGAATATAGAAGCATCCACTTAAAAAGATAGAGCGAGTGATAAAGGTCAGGGTGAGGATAGGTGTCAAGTTTAAAGTGTCAAATATGAGGCTTCGAGTGTGAAGAGCACGTTTGAAATTTCATGTGTCAAGTATGAGACGCGGATCTATAATGAGAAGCATTAGGTATGAGAAATTAAGCGTCAGGTATTTTGTAAATTAATCTCTAATTTTGCCAGCGATAGCTTTTGCTCGAGGCGATTATCCTTTCATCGGAAACGATAATGAAATTATCTTTTCATCCGTGTCGTTGTAGACCATTAATTCGCCCACATCGGCGTAGAAAAATTAATTTGACAGGAAGAGAAATAAGGGCGTCCTATATGATTGGTCTTGATTGTGTAGGGATTTCCGTGTCCGGTTGCGTCGCATATAATCGTATCTGATTGTACAGTGCCATTTCTTCCTGAAGAACTGGGATGGTAAATTGATAACTGATGAGGCTGATGCATCAGTGGAAACAGTTGAGGCAGAGGGTTAGAGAGCCTGAGAGGTGATGTTCATTGCTTCATTGTCCAGTTTCTGTTGGAGAGCCACTTGGGAGGATAGGTTTTCAGGAATTTTAATTGGAGTGAATTTGTTTTAATTAAGAGTTTTTTTATTTTAGGTATATGTACTGCAGGGCCACCATTGTAGAGGATGCTGATGACGCATTTGGTTTTAAGTTCCCATTTAGTTGGCCAGGCTAGGAGAGGCTAGCGTGATTGTTGTCTGTGGTCTAGGCCGAAGGTTGTCGTTGACTTGGTGTATGAGTATGATAGGCCTAGGAAGTTAATTGGATCAAGGAAAAAAAATGTTGATAATGCGAACACAGCATGCCCACCCATCATAAACACAAAAATCTACATGATAAATCAACTCATATCACAGTAACAAAATCACCTACTCATCTAAAGTCACTACCTTATATTACCCGTCGTTCCCATGATATGAAAAAATGCATAACCTTTCGGCTACTACGTCTACTCGACTACACTACGATGACTTATGGCAGATACAACGCCCCATGAGGTAGATGATTGGCGGTCCGCGGCCTCCCCCGGGGGAGGAAAGTGACGGACCCCATACTGGAAATGCTATCGACATCAAGTGACCCCAGACGATAAGGCATCTTGTGATCTGTAACTTAGTCAAATAAAGTCGTAGCCTAACCGCAAAATCATCATGGTCCCTCGTAAAGAAGCCCAGTCGGTTAAAATCGTCTTTCAGTGACGGGTGGAGCAAGAGCCAGCCGCCCACCAAGCCCCGAGAGCACACCAGGACCCGCTAGCTCCCAACACTTCCAGACGAAACCGACGCCTAACACCGTCTCCCTGACCGCAGAACCACCTGGGAAAACGGACAAATCCATTAACCTTCCTGTGTCCCAAGGTGATAATTGCTCATCACTCATATCAATCTAGGCCGTTAAAGCGGAATAAACTTGACGGCAGTATCGAGACAATACGCCTTACGTTTTCAGGCGATGCTCAGGCAGAGCAGGTGTCTAGATACCAGCATTTTCCTCACATTAATAAGACTTTATCAAAATCCTCAGATTAGGCAAAATTGTAATTAATTTTGTCAATAAAGATATTAATAATAATAAGGGTGTCTAGACACCCACTCGTCGTCAAGGTTGAACCCAGAGTGCGAGATCTTCTTTTATCACATCGAGATTTCTAGTTTCCCATTGGTCAGCCGGCGGAGAATCTGGGAGCCAATCAGGACAGGGATCGCTCCTCTTATCCATACCGGGAAGACCGGGAAGCCTAGTCACTCAAGCGTACTAACCTCCGCAACACCGCTAATAATGAACCAAAAAACAAAAGCGTACTAGGATTATTAGTGACTAATTTAATATTTGAACAATTGTATTATTGTTCAGAGGTTAGGTTTTAAAGTATAATGCCAATAGTCGTTCAGGGTCCAATAGTCGATTGGATCCTGAGCCAATAGTCGAATCAATAGCAATATTTGTGTTATATTTAACTGGGCTACATTTACACAAAGGTTTGATAATAATAGTTATCATTTAAAATTATGAAAATGTTTCTCAAAATCTCAAATACTGTACTGTTAAAACACCCAGTCATCTGCACTAAACGTCTTCTATGTAATTTTACTTATGAATGTCGATTTATGGTTATAAACTAATTCTTACTTGTTTGACATTGTTCTTGTATAATATTGCTAAAAGTATATAAATGAACATTAGCTATACCTTGTCGGTGAGTAAAAAGGTGACATGTTGGCAGCCTTGCACGGCGAATGCTGATTGGTCAGTTGAGGTGCCTGGCGTTACTCTGGCTCGTGTCTATAAATATGGGTGCACCGGAAAATTTCGCCATTCCTGACGCCGCTCCCGTATTCTTCGGTTCTAAACCTCTCTACGTCGTAATGGGAGGCCGTGGGAAGACAGTCTCACCAAAGAAGCGGACAACCTTGGCTCATCGAGCGGGCCTACAGTTTCCAGTGGCCAGAATCCATCGCTATCTCAAAGCTTGCAATTACGCTCCTCGTGTCAGCATTGGAGCATCCGTCTATATCACCGCAGTACTGGAGTACTTGACAGCAGAAATCCTGGAACTTGCTGGCAAGATAGCAAACGACTCTAAGAAGATGCGTATTACCCCGCGTCACATTCTGCTAGCAGTTCGCCATGACGATGAGCTCAACTCTTTGCTTCAAGACGTTACCATTCCACAAGGCGGAGTTGTACCATACATACACTCTGCCCTTCTCAAGCCCAAGAACCATGACCCTCCTGAACAGCCGAAAGATGTCAAACCAGATAAATAAAATATTGGGGTTAAAAAAGTAAAAAAAAAGTAAAAAATAAAAAAAAGCTCCCAATGGAGCACACACATATTAAAGAATTATTTATAGACAAGGTAAACTCCAAAATGAAATACAAATGTATTTATAACATGTTATATGTTTAATTTAAGTCATTATTATTGCGATTAATTTGAAATCTGAAATGAAGGTAGGAAAATTATAAGTGTGGATAATAATATTTTCGTAGTGTAGAGAACGTGAATCTATCCAGTTACAGCAGTGGGAAAAATCAATTGTTGATAAAAACCATGTAAATATTTACAAATTTGTATTTATTACAAATATACAGTATCACTATAGATATACAGTAGCACTGTACACTACAAATATACAGTAACATTATACTACAAATATACAGTAACATTATACTACAAATATGCATTAGCATTATACTATAAATGTACAGTAACATTATACTAACAATATATATGAGGAGCATTGTACTACAAATATACAGTAGCTTCAACGTACTACCATACTACAACAAGACGCACTACTGCTACAATACCACAACAATAGGTACTACTACAATACTACAACAAGACGTACTATTACTACTACTACAATACTACAACAAGACGTACTATTACTACTACTACAACAAGACGTACTACTACTACAATACTACAACAAGACGTACTACTACTACTACAATTCTACAACAAGAGGTACTGCTGCTACAATATTGCAACAAGACGTACTACTGCTACAATACTACAACAAGACGTATTGCTGCTACAATACTACAACAAGACATACTACTACTACAATACCACAACAATAGGTACTACTACTGCTACAATACTACAACAATAGGTACTACTACTGCTACAATACTACAACAAGACGAACTACTACTACAATACTACAACAAGACATACTACTGCTACAATACTACAACAAGACATACTACTGCTACAATACTACAACAAGACATACTACTGCTACAATACTACAACAAGACATACTACTACTATAATACTACAACAAAACGTACTACTGCTACAATACTACAACAAAACGTACTACTGCTACAATACTACAAGACGAACTACTACTGCAATACTACAACAAAACGTACTATTGCTACAATACTACAAGACGTACGACTATAAAACTACAACAAGACGAACTACTACTACAATACTACAACAAGACGAACTACTACTACAATACTACAACAAGACATACTACTACTACAATACTACAACAAGACGAACTACTACTACAATACTACAACAAGACGAACTACTACTACAATACTACAACAAGACATACTACTACTACAATACTACAGCAAGACGAACTACTGATACAATACTACAACAAGAACTACTGCTACAATACTACAACAAGACGAGCTACTACAACAAGACGAACTACTGCTACAATACTACAACAGGACGAACTACTACTACAATACTACAACAAGATTGGAGCGCCTCAATTTCCGGGGAGAAAAAGAATATATATATTTCAAATTTTGAATTACGAAATCCGTTGCTTTCCAAAAGTCAAACTTATCCTCAATTGTTAATATGTTATCGCAAGTTTGTCAAATATACTATCGGCAGAAGAATCGTTGAAGCTCTCCATAATATATTTCGTGAGAAATTAATTGACCGTATATTGTGATAAGTGTTAGTTGTAGATTAGGATTAGGCTACACATATATTCGGCAGTTTATCTTATGTGTGGGATCTCAATAACGTGAAATTAAAATTGTGTAGTTAGAAGTTGGTCCTTATACTTCAACACTGTTTTAGTTTAGGAGAAAATTGACTTAAATTGATTAATGTCCAAACTTATTCTTCGAGAAATTCCAAGAAAATTTGTATTTAGTGATATGGAAACTGGAAACTTGGCACTGTATTCACAATTTGCACGATGCATCAAAATCAGTTACTGTGTGATGACTCAATTCGGTTATTAATTATCAGAGGACGAGCTGGTGATGCACCTAAACTGTCAACTCTTGCTTGCATCCCTCAAACTGTGCTGCCATTCTCCTGTACCAACAAATTAGTATTACTGTATATATGCAGCCATATCATTGTTATATATATATATATATATATATATATATATATATATATATATATATATATATATATGTATATATATATATATATATATATATATATATATATATATATGTGTGTGTGTGTGTGTGTGTGTGTGTGTGTGTGTGTGTGTGTGTGTGTGTGTATGTGTGTGTGTGTGTGTGTGTGTGTGTGTGTGTGTGTGTGTGTGTGTGTGTGTGTGTGTGTGTGTGTGTGTGTGTGTGTAAATCACGAATATTAACACGTGATGAAAAAGTGACATACTTATTTAATGTTTATCAGCTGTTTTTGTTTGAATGAAGACAGAACTGGTAAGCGGGGAAAGAGGAGGAAAGTGGTATGGGTAATTCAGGAAAACTGAATAAGGAATGAGATATAAGGCCAAAACTCAATTAATAAAGGCTAGTGGGGGATCACCTTTGCTTTTTAATAAGGACTTATTTGATACTAGATTTGAATTTTGAACAAAATCCTTTGATTGGTCAAGCATCAAGATGGAAGTGACGAAGAGAAATAGTTTATTTTGTTTAAGTTCCTCCATTGGCAGCCCGCCGCTATCAATTCAGCCAATCAGCGCCCGCAGCATGGGCCCGCCGAGGAAATAAAAGAGCTGCGCAGCGTAATTTTTGCGGCAGTCTACGCGAACGTCAGGTGCATAATGCTATCGAAGAAAAGCAAGCCCTTCGTGGTAGAAGTCTCTGAACAGGATGGAAGGAAACGGCGACGTAAGAGGAAGAAGAACTTCAAGAGCTTCATCTTCAAAGTGCTGAAGATTGTTGTACCAACACATGGAATATCTGTGAAGGCAATGGAAGTTATGGATTCTTTCGTGGATGACATATTTCATCGACTGGGACAAGAAGCTGCCCATCTAGCGGCATTAAGCAAGAGATCCACCATCATCTGCCGAGATATTGAGGCAGCTGCTCGTCTCTTGTGCGTCGGAGAACTTAAGCTCCACGCAGCATCGGAAGGCACCAAGGCCTTCGCCAGATACTCTGCCAGAAAGTAAACCACATGAATGAAACTCAATATTTTTACCATCCAGGCTCCTTTTGGAGCCACAGTTGTAAATAAAAGAGTTTGACTAAATCATGAACACGCAAAATAAAAACTATTGAACATGTCTGACAGTTTTGTGGGAGATACCTGTTGTATAAATTTACAGCTACTTCCATATTTTATTAGTTTCTAATGCCAATACATCTACATCTTGCCCTCCTGTAACGAGTCAAACCCACAGACGTAACATTCACACAGCGTAGCAATCTGACAAGTTCGTATCCTAGGATTGTGTTATTATTCTTTATGGTAATTAGTTCTCGTATTCGTACCCCTCATCACTTACAATTTTGTAAGTATAACAGTTTATCGTGTTAATTTGATTGTCTGGATTTGCAGTAATTAGCAGTTTACTTAATTATATTGCTCTAAGCTCAGGTTCTTCGTTCGCAGTCTTTATTTAACGGTGGCATGTGTATTTTGCTGTCTGTCAGGCTTGATGTTATAATATGGACAACCTCGTATATGAACTGAACGTATATGAACGTTATTAAATAATATTGTGTATAGACATAGTATATAACATCCTCTAATGAGTTCACAAATTGATTCTCTGCAGAATCTAAACATTCATAGTATGTACAATAACAAAGCGGCTAACACAACTTTGAAAATCTTAAAAATATAAGAAAATGTAAAAGTTACATAAAACATCATTGCCATGTTTAAGAAATCTGTGTTTATGCTAGACATTGTTATACCGATTTCCCGAAAGTAATGTTGAATTTAAAAAAATCTGTCATCTAGTCTTTTGAACTCGGCCGGTGTAGTGATCTTGGAAGAAAGCGCTTCTGATTGGCTACATTTAAGACTTGATTCAAGATCTTGTCCAATCGTCGTTCTCCATAACAATTTGAAATTATCTTTAGTTAATTTTTAGTTCATAGTTTTACATTTCATCCTTCATTGACTAAATCAATGTATTTGTATTTAGGTTGTTGAATATTTTCAGTTTTTGTGATTTTATAAATTTTTGGCGTGATTTTATACGAAAAAAATTTAAACGCTAAATAAGTGCCAACGCTAGGCTTCAAGACGGATGCCATCTACACACTTCGTGACGATTGAGCCGGTAAGCAGGGAAGGGTTGGAAGAAGGCAAGATGAGCACACGCAGGAAGTCTTGAGTAAGGATTGTGATATAATAGGTAATGACCCATTATAATAGCCCCGTCGATAGAGCTTCGGCCTTACACGCGTGGGGTCCACGGTTAGTCTCCTAGAGCTTAGGTGAATGGAAGGTGATGATTTTATAGTGTCTGATTTGTAATTCATGTTCTGGATTTTCTCCAGTCCCATAATTTGGGCCGGTTTGTGAGGCAGCCAATAATTATGAACTCAAGGTTAACTTTTGGCGATGTGCACTGTTTGAGTTTTGTTTATTGATGGTTCTACAAGATGTTTGTTCTTCAAGATATTATGCAAGTCTTCTATTTCTAGACTTGTTTGCAACTACTTATTGTCTCAACTAACGATATGTTTGGAGTTTGGAGACAGGCTTGTCTGGCTTAGGGAAGAAACTTATTGTGGATGTTATAAGTTAAGAGTGAAGGCGCCTTGAGGTTGACGCTGCAATCTTTCTAGCATTGGTAGCTTAGTCAATCATAGTCTGGTAAACCTGATAATTCTTGTGACTTTATTCTTGAGACTTTTGAAAATTTATTGAACATTTTTCAGTAGAGATTATAATCATGCAGTGGTTTTGGTTATTTAGAAATGTCTTAGCTGTGACTTCCATGAGACTATTTCTAATTATGTGTGGCAGAAGTTCACATCATCGTCTTCACTAATAACAAATTTATAATTTTTCCAGTATATTTTATTTGTATTATTAGGTTAATTTGCTAGGGAGGAATCGCAAAGTTTTATTTGTGGTAAATTATTACAAGGTTCCTTTGCTTGTGAGGCTTTACTAGGTTTCAATTTCTGGTGAGGTATTGATAAAATCTATTGGCTGTCGAGATATTGCTAGGTTTCAGTTGCAGTTGATAAAGTGCTAGGCTTCATTTACTAGTAATATATTCTTTGGCTTTATTTGTTACTGATATATTGCTAGGCTTCTCTTTCTTGGGAAGTATTGCAAGGTTACATTTGCTGATTTGGTATTATTGGAGTTCATTTTCTGGTATGGTACTGCAAGACATTATTTACTAGTGAGAAATTGTTAGGTTTCATTTTCAGGTCTGGTATTGCTAGGATTCATTTGTTGATGTAGTATAGCTAACTTTCATTTGGTATTGAGATATTGCAAAATATCATTTACTCACAATATATTGATATATTAGGTGTCTATATTTTTGTTTATATTTTTTATCAGGTTAAGTATTTTGTGAATATTATTTACCGGATGTTGGTCTCTTGAGGATTATGTTTTCAAAAATATTTTCATCTATGTTATATATATATATATATATATATATATATATATATATATATATATATATATATTACTGAAAGTTTAGTTTATAGCTAAGAATTTACAGGAATTCTTTAAACTATTATATGCCAATTAGAAGAACGAGTAAGGTTACGGAATAAAGAAATCTTATAAACGTTTCAAAGAAAAGTTAGAAGGAAGCCCTGCAACGTCGTCTTCTTAGTTACTACAGTGTTGTGTAACTAATTATGCTAAAGCTTACTCATCTATTCTTACTAAATATGCTTACTCAGCCTTACTGAGCTA